TCAGTATGTATACACCTGTTCTGAAAGGCCCCAGAGTCTGCAACACCACTAAGCAAGGGGCACCACCAAGCAAGCGGCACCATGAAGACCAAGGAGCTCTCCAAACAGGTCAGGGACAAAGTTGTGGAGAAGTACAGATCAGGGTTGGGTTATAAAAAAAATATCCTAAACTTTGAACATCCCATGGAGCACCATTAAATCCATTGTTAAAAAAGGGAAAGAATATGGCACCACAACAAACCTGCCAAGAGAGGGCCGCCCACCAAAACTCACAGACCAGGCAAGGAGGGCATTAATCAGAGGCAACAAAGAGACCAAAGATAACCCTGAAGGAGCTGCAAAGCTCCACAGCGGAGATTGGAGTATCTGTCCATAGGACCACTTTAAGCCGTACACTCCACAGAGCTGGGCTTTATGGAAGAATGGCCAGAAAAAAGCCATTGCTTAAAGAAAAACATAAGCAAACACCTTTGGTGTTCGCCAAAAGGCATGTGGGAGACTCCCCAAACATATGGAAGAAGGTACTCTGGTCAGATGAGACTAAAATTGAGCTTGAGGGAAACCTGTTTCAGTCTTCCAGAGATTTGAGACTGGGACGGAGGTTCACCTTCCAGCAGGACAATGACCCTTAGCATACTGCTAAAGCAACACTCAAGTGGTTTAAGGGGAAACATTTAAATGTCTTGGAATGGCCTAGTCAAAGCCCAGACCTCAATCCAATTGAGAATCTGTGGTATGACTTAAAGATTGCTGTACACCAGCAGAACCCATCCAACTTGAAGGAGCTGGAGCAGTTTTGCCTTGAAGAATAGGCAAAAATCCCAGTGGCTAGATGTGCCAAGCTTATAGAGACATACCCCAAGAGACTTGCAGCTGTAATTGCTGCAAAAGGTAGCTCTACAAAGTATTGACTCTACAAAAAATCAATTTTAATTCCAGGTTGTAAGACAACAAAATAGGAAAAATGCCAAGGGGGGTAAATACTTTCACAAGCCTTCAGAAAGTATTCATATCCCTTGACTTATTCCACATTTTGTTGTGTTACAGCCTGAATTCAAAATTGATTAAATATATTTTTTCCTCACCCATCTACACACGATACCCGATAATGACAAAGTGAAAACATGTTTTTAGACATTTTTGCAAATTTATTTAAAATGAAATACAGAAATATCTAATTTACACAAGTATTCACACCCTTGAGTCAATACATGTTAGAATCAACTTTGGCAGCAATTACAGCTATGAGTCTTTCTGGACAAGTCTCTAAGAGCTTTGCACACCTGGATTGTAAAATATTTGCACATTTTTTCTTTTTTTAATTATTCAAGCTCTGTCAAGTTGGTTGTTGATCATTGCTAGACAGTCATTTTCAAGTCTTGCCATAGATTTTCAAGCTGATTTAAGTCAAAACTATAACTAGGCCACTAAGGAACATTCAACATAGCCTTGGTAAGCAACTCCAGTGTATATTTGGCCTTGTGTTTTAGGTTATTGTCCTGCTGAAAGGTGAATTTGTCTCAAAGTGTGACGTTTTCCTGTATGATTTTGCCTGTGCTTAGCTCTATTCAGTTTCTTTTTATCCTAAAAACTCCCTAGTCCTTGCCCATGACAAGCATACCCATAACATGATGCATCCACCACCATGCTTGAAAATATGAAGAGTGGTACGCAGTGACATGTTGTGTTGGATGTGCCCCAAACGTAACATGTTGTATTCAGGACATAAAGTTAAATTTCTTTGCCATATTTTTTGCAGTTTTACTTTAGTGCCTTATTGCAAACAGGATGCATGTTTGGAATATTTGTATTCTGTACAGGCTTCCTTCTTTTCACTCTGTAATTTAGGTTAGCATTGCGGAGTAACTACAATGTTGTTGATCTATCCTCAGTTCTCCTATCACAGCCATTAAACTCAGGTGAAATCCCTGAGCGGTTTCCTTCCTCTCCAGCAACTGAGTTAGGAAAGACGCCTGTATCTTTCCTAGTGACGGGGTGTATTGATATATCATCCAAAGTGTAATTAATACCTTCACCATGCTTTTTTTTTTACCCATCTACCAATAGGTGTCCTTCTTTGCGAGGCATTGGAAAACCTCCCTGGTCTTTGCGCTTGAATCTGTGTATGAAATGCACTGCTCAACTGAGGGACCTTACAGATAATTGTATGCGTGGGGTACAGAGATGAGGTAATCATTCAAAAATCATGTTAAAAACTATTATTGCACAGAGTGAGTCCATGCAATTTTTACGTGGCTTCTTAAGCAAATGTTTACTCCTGAACTTATTTAGGCTTGCCATAAAAAAGTGGTTGAATACTTATTGACTCAAGACATTTCATCTTTTTATTTTTTAATTAATTTGCAAACATTTCTAAAAACATAATCCCACTTCGTCATTATGGGGTATTGTGAGTAGGCCAGTGACAAAAGTCAAGGGTTGTGAATACTTTCTAAAAGGCACACACCCGTTTTCCCTTGGGTAGAAGAAAAAAATAACACCTTAAATATTTACCTTGAGGCAAATTCTGACCTTTGGTCTGGGCTAGTTGGCCAGTGTTTGTCTACTCCATACACTGCCTCCTCTTTAGGGAACATTGGCTATATAGACTTTCTCAGATTCCACTCCATGGCTTGGAGGTGTGGCCCCTACACACTGATCTTGGATCAGCTTGTCATAATCTAGTACTGACCATAACCATTTAGGAGATACAACTAAACTGACTTTAGATCACTCAGAGCTCTATGACTCAAGGTAACAGGTATATTCCATTAATTCATGGATGTAGCCAATCTGAATAAAAAAGGGTTTCAGCACTGCTTGAGATGGCAACCACTCCTTTCTGTCTATTATAGTCTACTTCACTCAGCCAGAGCACAGATGTAATATATAGTTTTGCACTTGTTTAGTTTTTATATTTTAAATGCACCATTGGTGATTGGATTTTGGTTTAAATTCAGGTGAAAATCACAGAAAGTGAATAAAAAATGATTGTTTACTGTCCAGAGTCAAATATTACCAACAATAACATGTATTACAGAGGATGCATAGGCTATGTATATATATATTTAGACCTAGGCTTAGAGAAGAGGAAAGAAAGACAACAAAGTAGTAGTATTTTATAAGGAAACTTTATGTGTGCTTGTGAAATTCACTTTTAGACAGAAGGCTGTTTTGCAGTTTCCAGTACAGCAGATAAGGTTTGATATTAAAGAGTACAAAAAAGAAGAAATCACAATTCCAAAGTTCAATGCTTTCCAACCTTGTAGGTAAAAGTACAAGCTTTTGGCCCAAGTCTTATTTTTCATCCTCTGGCTCACTTCCCCGGCTCACTTCCCCCTAAGCTCCTCGACCCCTCCCCTTTACAAATATTAAAGAAATAAAACAAATGTCTTGCACTTAATTTTGTCAATTAATTTCTTCAAATAAATTCCCGCCATTTCTCTCTGAACTCTGTGATATTGGATATAGATGATTGCATAGATTGGTAGTCAGTAATTTCCTTTTATTTAAGACATTATGGAATGTTTATTAAGACTCTGGCCCACTCCCTTTGCCCTCCTTTCCGCTGCAGAGGGAAGACAGACAAGGAGATGGAGAGATGAGAGGGAGCGAGAGACAGGGCTGTAGCCATTATCAGGCACATTTTTAGTACTCCCATCGTTTCCAACTTCATCAGGGAACTCTAAAGCAGTGTTGCTATAGAAACAATTAAGCCGAGGATAGTGTTGGGCCTTCACTTTGTCCATGTAAGCATTACATGACCTGACATGCTGTGCTTCTAGGGGATATTCTTTAATATGTTCTTCAGTTGAAACTATAATAAAGGAATAGATTGGGTGAACAAGAGCACCTTATATGCCTCCAAGATAAAAGTGATATATCATGAAAGCAAAGTTTATTAAATGCCAACATGTTTATGTCAAGTGTCATGTGATGTTTACATAGAAGCTATAAAGGCCTCACATATACTTCCTTCAACTAAATTGTCACCATATCTTCAATACAACAGGATTCCATATTTGACAGTTGAAACAAAAAAAACAAAAAAAACTTTATCCAAATGGAGACTCACAGTAACTCAAACCTATCTACCGTACTCAATGTGTGAAACTGCTATTTTTTTCCCCCTTCGCTATTTGTTGTTTTTGCTTTTAAAAATGCCACTCTTGTTTTGCCCTACAAGCCTGCGATGAGTATTCTGACTGTGTTGCGTACTGGAAAAATAAGTATGTACAGCACTGAACCCACTTACTCACATTTGCTGGAGAAAAGAAACAAACAAATGGGGAAAGGAAAGAGTTGAGGTTAGCAATCCAAGTTCCACTTATCCAGCAAAATGCGGTAAATGTCATTATTCTCTGTTCAACCCCCTGCCCCCCCTTCATATATCTCTGTGTTCTAATACGCGCAAACTCTCCACCCCCCCACCCCCCATCAAGATAAAATAAACAAAACGAAAAAATAGTATAAGAATCATCTGAATATCTTGTGCCACCCCCATCCCCCCCCCCCCACCCCCCAAATCCATCCCCAAGGCAGAGGGTGAAGATGGGACTTGCACTACAGAGCAGTGTTCCCATCCTGTTCTGACCCAGAAGTGCACCTGTGGTTGCTGGTTTTCACCCCATAACATGATGTGCATTTGATTGTAGTTGATCTGTGAACCAAGTAAGTTGCGCTCAATAACCGCTTGGGACAGCCAACCAGTTTGAGATGAAAACCTGTACTCAGGGGCACTGCGGGACCAGAACCTAGAGGGAGCAGTAGAGCTGTCCACCAATCACTTCCCAGGACTCTCCACCTGCAGCCCCACCCTCTTCTACAGAACCAATCAGACTCACTCCCCTCTTCTCTCCTCCTACTGCTCCCAGTGACTGCAGGCTATACCTAGAGGGGTGGAGAGTGTCTACTCTGCATTGGGCCTGGCAAGCCTCTATGTACCCCCCTTCTACCCCAAACCTCATCCCGTCTCCCTCCCTCCCCTCTGTGGTGTGCTCCTAGAGGTCACTCTCCCCGTAGAGGGCAGTGGAGAAGGACATGTAGTCGAGGGCTCCGGGCTTCGCATCGGGGCCTGAGTAGGGCGCCATGCGGGCGATGCAGTACTCCGCCTGGTCTGGAGGCAGCTCCCGCCTCAGCTCCTCGGCCATGATGAAGTTCTGACAGAGAGTGAGGGAAAGAGATGGGAGGGAGGGACGTTGAATAACAGAGTGATAGTTGAGTAATAATAGTTTGTCTACTTCAGCCGTCTCAAGTAGCTGCAACACACATTCTCTCTCTCTTACACAGACACACACACACACACACTCACCACACGAGCCCAACACCATTCCACCCCCACAAACCCCCTCACCTTGTCTGCAGCCAGGATCTTGAAGGAGGCGATGACCTGGTCGGCTGTGTCTGTGTCCGTGGTCTCCCTGGACATGAAGTCTATGAAGGCCTGGAAGGTGACCGCTCCGCTGTTGTTGGGGTCCACTATGCCCATGATGCGGGCAAACTCGGCATCACCCTGGAAACCACCACCACAGGAAAACACAGGTTAACCCAGAAACAACAATAGGAAATCGAGGGTATCACTGACCAATGACCAACCTCTGAGCAATATTACCACTAATTAAACATTTAACTTGAATTTGACAACATGCCTCAACGATAAAGATTGTATTAATATCTGCTTAGGGGCAGGGTTGTTAAGAGGGATTGTGTTACAAGAGACAGTTACTACACATTATGCTTACCATGTTGCAGTAGCTACAACAGTAAGGGTCTTATTCTAAACTCAAGACAGAGGGAGAAAAAGAAAGATTGAGACGAGAGCAGAAAAAGCAGAGAGAAGCAGCAGGCAGTACCAGGCTGTTTCCAGTGGCAACGAGCAGAGCGCGGTAATTGTCTATGTCCATCTGCCCTGTGCGTTTCTGTTCCCAGGGACCGAGAGATTGAGAGGAACAGATATGGAAGGAAAAGGAGAGCAATAGAGGGAGCGTGGATTCGAGGGGGACAGAAAAGTACGAGAGGAGGAAGACATGAGCAGATAGAAGCATGGAAAGAGGAGGAACAAAGGAGGGGAAGGTGCGGAGAGGTGAGTAATGAGAGGGGAGTGAAAAAAATGGAAAAAGCAGAAACAACGTTAAAAAGAGATGAGTCAAATCAAGGTAAAAAAAACTGCAGTGTTGGAGCCGAGGCTGTGGCTGGAGTGGAGGCCAGTGAGTGAGTGGGTGAGTGAAATGAGAGTGAATGACAGCACAGGCAAGCAAAAAGCCAGGCAGAGCGCGGCCCCAGCAGGTTAGACGGGTAACAGCAGCAGCCCCTCTCTCCTCCGCCCCTCCGCCCCCCCCGACTTGTCTGCGCTCCTTACCGTTTTGTTATTCTCCACATCGTAGCCCAGGCTGATCAGGCACGCCTTGAACTCCTCAGCCATCAGGGCCCCGCTGTGGTCCTGTGAGGTCAGGTGAGCGTGGTCAGGTGATGGGACCATGGCATGCAAGACGAGGGTGATGACGGACAGACATGGTGGGGACAGATAGACAAACGGATGTTAGATGTTAAACAATGACAACAGCTTATGGGGAAAACAAATCTGTGATACTAGACACACTGACAGGCACACCAGTGACCATGACGGGCCAGTGTCTCCAAAGCGCTTGTCTGTAAGCGCTTAGGAACACATATGCGATACTCAAGCACTGTTTAACGGTGACCCCTATATATTTTATGGAAATGACAACAGGTCCTCAAAGATCACCATAGTGCTAGTGACAGGACAGCTTTGTCCCAAATGGCACCCTATTCCCTAGATCCCTCATATTCAACTCTGGATCTCGAAGCCAGTTCCACTGCTTTTTTTTCCACTGTTCACCACTAACCAGGGACTTATCTAGACCTGGGACACCAGGTGGGTGCAATTCATTATCAGGTAGAACAGAAAACCAGCAGGCTCTGGACCTCATAGATAATAGTTGAATATCTCTGCCCTATATTGTGCACTACTTTTGACCAGAGCCATAAGGGCCCTGGTCAAAAGTAGTGCACTATATAGGGAATAGGGAGCCATTTAGGATGCAGCGTCGGTCTTGATATTGAGCCAAACACAGCATGCATAAAGACAGTGAGGTGAAGTGATGAGGTATGGTGTTGAGGTATGGCGCTGTGGGATGGGTGAGGTGAACTCAGGGGTTACACATCCCCCCTCTCATTGCACTCAGCTCCACTCTACACAGCCCCAGCCCATGGTGAAACAACCACCTTATTAAAAAAAAATTTTTTTCCCACTTTTGACTTTTCCCAACCCCAAAAAACAACAAGGAAAAAGGGTTTGTCCCCTAAAAACAAAAGTTCAAAAAGTTCCCAAAATTTTTCTTAAAACCCCCCCCCCCCAACCCCTGGTTTTTCCCCTTTCGGGGGAAAATCAAAGAGGGGGGGGGAACCTTTTTTAATTTTAAACTTATGCACAAATAAGGGGGGTTAAAAAGGAAAAAAAAACCCCCCCTTTTCCTTAACAAAAGTAAAAAAACCCCCCTTTCAAAAGGGTGGTAAAAAAAGGCCTTTTAAAAACAGGGCCCCAAATTCTTTCGCGGGGGGGGCCCCCATTTTTTTTAAAAAAAAGGAAAAAATTTTAACAAAAAGACCCTCCTTTTCCCTTGGCCTTTCCCCCGGGGCCCCCTGCGGGTTGGAGGACCTCAAAAAGGTGGTTGGGGGCCAATGGGGGGTTAACCCCCGGGGTTTTTCCCTGGGCTTTTCCTCCCCCAATTTCCCCCTTTCCTCTTTTTGGGCCGTTTGGGGGAGTTTAACGGCCCACAAGGTCCTGAAAGGGGGGAAGGGTTTTGGGTTTGTGGGAAAAGGGGTTTTTGGGTTTTAACCAACCATCCAAAAAAACTTTTTATAAGGGGGGTATCGTTTTTTCATTAAATTTTTCCAGGCGTCCGGGACCTTGATCTGGTGGGGGCCCCTTCCCCTTTTTCAATTGTTCCGGCCGCGGTTTTTTGGGGGAAAATTTAAAAATTTAAAATAAAAAAGGTGGGTTCCGGGAAAATTTGGGGACCCCCTTTCCTTCCCCTCCGGGAGGGCCAACGGCGAAGGCGGCCCCGGCTCCCAAATGACCCCCTTTGGGGCCTGTGGGGGGGGGGGGGCAATAATAAGGGCTGGAAGGGGGTCAAGGAAGGATCAAAAAAGGGCCAGGGGTTTTGCCACCTGAACCAGCCAACAAGGAAGAAAACCCGCGCCCAAAGGGCCCCTAATTGTCCAAAAGGGGAAAGGGCCCCCTTTTCTTGGGAAAAAAGCTTTTTTTGTGTCATAAAACGGGGGGGTTTTTTTAAAAGGGGGGCCCGGAGAGTTTAAGGGCCCCCCCAGCTTAATTTGGGGGTGTTTCATTCAAATTAATTTAGGTTTAAGGGGTTGGCCGTCATTTTTGGGAATCCCCCCCCCAATTCCCAAACTTAAAATTTCGGCAGCTCCCCGGCCAGGGGCTGGTTTTTCCGGGCCCAAAAAACCGGGGGGTTTGCCCGGGGGAAACCCTTTTGGGGGCCAAAATTTTTTTCTTTTAAAACTTTTTTTTCCTTGAAGCTTCCCCCCAGGGGCCCGGTTCACGGGGGGTCACCAGGTTTGGGTTAACCTTATTCAAAACGGAACCCCCTTTTCGGAGTATCCGGGGCCAAAACATTTCCTGGTAAACGGCCCCAATGGGGCTTGGCTCCTTTTCCCGGGATCCTGGGGAAAAGGTTTAAAGGGGGCCCCCCACCCAATTTTATAAAAAACCAAATTTAATCAGAAAAACCCACTTTCCCTCCAAGCCCGGGGAAAGGCTTGGGCTTCAAGGTTTTGGATTTTTTTTTCCCCACCCAAAATTATTTAAAAATTAAACCTTAAAATTAAAATTTTTGGGTAATTGGGGCCTCTTGTAAGACGCTTGCAATTTTGGGGTTAATTTAACCTTATGAAAAAAAAAATTATATATTTTGTAAGTCGCCAAAAGAAATAAAGGGCCCAAAGGCTAAAAAATTTTAAAACATCATCATAAAACCCTCACCCCAAACCTTTTTTATTTTTTGCCGAAAATCTTGGGGGTAAATTTGAAAACCCCCAAAAAAACAAAACCACCCTTTTCCCCCTTGTTTTACCTTTTTTTAGGGGGGGATTGTTTCCCCCGTTTCACCCTTGTTTGGCCTTTTTATTGGGCAATCTTCTGCCCCCCTCCCCTAAATTTGGGCCTGGATGGCCTCCCCCCCTTTGTTTGGCCCCCTTCGGGGGGGGTTGGGATTTAAAATGCTCAGGGGCTTGTGTTTAGGCCCCCTAAGAGAGGGGAGAAAGGAGGGGGGAAAAAAATGAGAGGGGGAGAAAGGAAACAAAGGGAAATGGGAAAGAGGTGGGGGGAAAATTAAAAGGGAAAGATTAAAAAAAAAGATCGGGATTATTTTACAGCCGTCCCCAATCGTCACAGGAACTTTTGGATACCATCCCAGGGAGTATAAAATTTCGGGTTTTCGGGGCCCCCAAATGCCCTAATTAGCTTTAAAAGAAATTTGATTTGGAAGTCTCAGTACGGTAGCAATTGTTTTTTGTCCCTTGGTTAGTTTTCCGCCATTCCCTTTCTTTTCCCAAAGGTTCGTTACCCGTTTTTGAACAAAAGGGAAAACCCTTTTTTTGAAAAAACCCACGGGAAAACACCCACAGGCATGAGGAAATTTTGGGGTTTTTATTTGGAGACTCTCTGGAAAATTTAAGGGCAAAAAACGGTTGGGGTTTTGGGGGGTCCCCCGTTCTTTTACCTGGATCTCTTCGGATTTTTGTAAACGAGCCCTGCCTGCAGGGTCCCCAAGGGCCCCCCTCCATCCAGGTTTTTTAAAAGGGTCCCGCCCTTTGGGCGACCCCCGGGTAAGTGGGCAATGGACCCCCAAGCTTTTCTTTTCCCTCCCTGTGGGGGGAAAGGGGGAGGGATGGGGAGGTGGAGAAAACTGGGGTCGGTGCCTGCGGGGAAAAATAAATTCTATGTGACAGGGATTAAACCAGAAAAACCCCAAAAAGTGGGGAAAGGGGAAAAACCCTTGGAAGAAAGTCTGTGTGTGCGTGTCAAACCCTTTTTTTGCATTTGAAAACCCGGGGGTTCCTTTCATGACCAAAAAAAAATAGGAATGTATAAATTTGATGGGGTGTTTTAAAGGTTTGGCGGGGTTTCGTGGGCTTTCCCTCCAGAGATTTCCCTGCGGGCTCGGGGTTGAGAGTCCCCAGGGCGTCCAAACTGCTTCACATTTTCTTTCTGACAGCGGGCTTTTTAACACTGGGGGAGCCCCGGAGTCCACCCTTCACTGGGAAACGGGGAACCCCCAAAACCACTTTAATTATTATCTTTTTCCCAACCAAATTTTAAAAGGGTTTTCCCTTATCCCCCTGAAAAAAAAAAAAAGGAAGTAAACCCCGACCCCGGGAAGGGGGGCCCCCCCCCCGGGGGGGGCCCCCCCGGGGAAAGGGGCCCCCAATTGGGGGGAACCCCTTAAAAGGGGGGGGGGAAAGGGAACCCCCCCCACCCCCCCCCAGTCCTTTTTTCCCCCCCTTCCCCCTCCCCCCTTCCCCGACCTCCACCCCCCGACTTTCCCATCCCCTTTTTTCTGCTCCCTGAAAGCCTGTGGGGGGGGGAAAGCGGCCCCCAACGTGGGTTCCCCCACAACTCAAAAACCCTTTTCCCCCCCCCATTTTTTGATTTCCGACACCCTTGCCCCCCCATACCCCCCGGTTTTCCTCCCCTTACCAAAAGGGGGGAAAATTAAAAAAACATTAAGGGCTAAAACAAATACCCAAACCCCAAATCCTCCCAAAAACCCTTATTTTTAACCCAAAGTTAAACTCTCCTTTTCGTTTTAGATTTGGGATGAGGACCTCCCCAAGGGGGGCCCGGGGGGTAAAAAAAGTCGTTGAAATTTCCAGAAACCTTTCCCCAAACCCTTTATTTTTCCAAAAAAATTCCCCGGGAGGAAAACGAAAAAAGGGGAAAAACAACCAAGAATCCAAAATCCCCCAAAACCAAAATTTTTTTAAACCAATTTGGAAAAGCCTTTTTCCATTTTGGGCCCCCCTAAGGGAGAGGGAGGGGGGGGAACAAAAAAGTGCTGGTAAGAAAGGGTTTTGAAAGAGTTTTTCCCCAAATCTTTTTCCAAAAAAACCCCCGGTGGAATCCCAAAAACGGATTTTTGAAAAAGGGGGTTCGAAAATCCCCCCAAGCTAAAAACGGGAATTTTGGGGTAGGCACCCCGCTGATTTTGGGTCTCCCTTTCAAAATTTTGGGTTTCCCCCTTCCAGGGTCCCCCGGGTAGGGCTTTTTTTTGGCGGCTTCTGGCCGGTTGGGGCTTCCCCTTCTTTTGAGGCCCCTTTTTTGTAGTTCCCGCACCCCCCAAGGGCCCATGGGACCCGGGTTTTTTCCCCAGCAAGATTTGTCCGTTTTTTTCCGTCTTTTGTGGTCCCCTTTCCCCCACCCCCCCACCCCCCTTC